CACAAAAAATGGCTCATTTAACTCCTGGATTTAGCGGTAAATTAACTGAAAATGCCTATTTTATTCAAGTATATTTTATATATTATTTATAAAAATGAATTAGGAGCTGATATAGCTAATGTTTGTAATGAAGCAGCATTACATGCTGCTAGAAATAGTCAAAAAGTTGTATTAGAAGCTGATTTAGACTATGCAGTTGAACGAGTGGTTGGAGGTACAGAAAAACGATCTCATGCAATTTCTCCAGATGAAAAAAAAATTGTTGCCTACCATGAAGCTGGCCATGCATTAATTGGTTGGTTATTGCCTACTACAGATGCTCTCCTTAAAGTTACAATTGTGCCTAGAACTAATGCAGCTTTGGGATTTGCCCAGTATACACCCACAGAGCGTTATTTACTTACTAAGCAAGCTGTAAGTTTTAATTATACAATTAAATAGATCATGAAATAAATTATAGAGGCATAAAGTACCAATCAAAACTATGATTTATGATTTGGTTTATTGTTTTATCATAATATGTATAATTTATTTTTATTTTGATTTAGTTATTTGAAAAAATGTGTTTGGGACTTGGTGGTAGAGTAGCTGAATCAATAGTATTTAATAGCATAACAACTGGAGCTCAAAACGATTTGGACAAAGTTACAAAAATCGCAAATTCTCTAGTATTATTTAAACATTTTATTAGTTTCATTGATGTGAAAATTAATTATTGAATTTGCACATTTAAGGTACGTCAGTATGGTATGAATGATAAAGTTGGATTGTTGTCATTTCCTGAAGATACAAAAAATAGCATAAGGCCATATAGTAATAAACTTGCAGCACTCATGGAAACTGAAGTTTCCCGATTAGTTTCTGATGCTTATTTTAACACAGAAAAACTACTAAAAAAAAATTATAACAAACTAGAATTGGTATTGCTTTCATTCATGCATTTTTAATATTACATAAATAATATATTAATATATGTTTTATAAATTATGATATTGTATATAATTATTATTATTCAATAATTGGCCAAATGAAACTGTAAATTTTATAGTTATCACAATTTTAATATTAAAAAGGATATTCTAAAAAGTTTTTACCAGTGGCTTACTTAGGAAAGAGACTTAAAAAGCGTTATCTCCTTCCCATTGGCCATATATTATGATTAAAATCTTATGTTATAAAAAACATGTTTCTTTTATAGTAAAAGCTAACATGAAAATGGTTTAGAACATTGTATGTATTGTCAATAGTAAAGGTTATGATGACTTTATAAAAATTTTGATGTAAATTGTTTAGCCTCTCATTGAAAAATCCAAGGTAAGCCACTGGTTTCTATACTAGTAGATCTATTTTCTTATGTATATTCATATTAAATGTATTGTTTATTACAAACTTACTATATTTTATTCATTCTTAAAAAAGATTACAAATTTTAAGTATTCTCCATTTTATAAAATAAAAAAGGACATCAAACATAAGGTTGATCAAATTTTTAATATTGAATTTTATTTTTAAAAATTATGTTCAAAAAATAAATCATTTAAATGTTATTTCTATCAAAATCATAAACTTTAAATTTTTAAGTGTTATATTTTTAGTATAATATTATTCATTAATTAAATTTTTTCAACATTATTTTTTTTTTATTTTTTAGATTGCTGAAGAATTATTGCGGAAGGAATCATTAAATTACGAAGAAATGGTAAAATTAATAGGTCTACCACCAAATGGTGAAAAACGTACTGTAAAGGTGTACGAGTTTAACACACCCGTGGATACAAAAAATACCGATTCTTCAAAAAATTAATAATTGTTTACTATTAACTGTGTTTTGTTAACTGATATTAGTTTAAATGTAACTATGTAAAATAATAATAACTAATTTAAATGACCATGACTTTAATTTTGAAATATTCATCTTTGCGCAGTTGTACAGTAAGGTTGTGTTTTATGTACCTTTTCTATCCATTATTTTGTTCATCATAAATATTTAATGCCTATTACACAACAATACCATTTATATCTACTAGTTCAGTAACTTATATCTTATATAATAATGTCTGTTTCAAATATTAATAATTGTACTGAATGTGATATAATGTTTACTGAACTTGGTGCTCTAGTTAAATGTGACGGTTGTAATAAGTGTTCGGGACTTCGACTAGTGAGCTCAAATGATTAGCACTCAAAAATCGAAACTTGAAATATTTACTTATCTACTGATCCGACTAACTAAGGTCATAGTTCGGGAAGTATAATATTTAATTATTGTATACATTTTTTAAAATTTAAAACAAAAAACCTCGTAAAAAACCAAAATGGCAGAACTCTTGATTATATTATGACAAACGACAATGTTGAAATTATTTCTTTAAATCACTCTTCAAAGTCCCTTGTTCCTAAAATTGATTATCATCACCCACCTTTAAACAATTTTCTAAAGTTTATGAATTCAAAATTTAAGCCTAGGTACCTCTGAATGTCCTATTATAAACAACTTTAAAAGATGTGATTTTAATAAAATCTTTAATTTTCTCTCTAATATTTATTTTGATTCTAATCTAAACAATAACATCTTTTTTTTTGAAGAGGTTGTAAAAAAATGTTTTGAAATTATTCATCATACTTTTAGTTTATTTGTCCCTAAAAACATAGATGTGTTGTGTTTGAATTCAATGTGGTATCATTGTAGGTATACAAAAACAATTCTGAGCAGAAATAGTTTGTCAACTTATAACAAATATTTATGAAAAAAATCACTAAAAAATATTAAATCCATTTTGGGAGCCTCTAAAATGTCAGAAAATAGTTTGTCTAAACAGTATATTTGCTAGAAAAATTTAATTTGAAAATTATTTTATATGAAATGCGTTTTTGTTTAAAAAACCTAACCTTGTACCTAATTTACAAAAAACGCTTTTTTGGTTAAAAAAAAATGTATTGTTTTTTTTCTCTAGTTAAACTTTTAATAATTACATGTCTAATAACAATTCTATGATTCAAAATATATAGAAGTACATTAAAGTACTTATTTATTTTAAATCCAGAGAAGAGCAATGAATGAATTGATTTTACAATGGTGTGTGTTTTTTTTTTTGCTTGTCTGTTATCAATTTATCATCTTTTGGAGCAGTAAAAATACTTCGATTTTCAACTTTAGGAATGGTTTCTGAAAAATTGGATCTATTGTTAAGAATGGAGAAGCCAAATGTAAAAAATTTCATGTACTTTTCAAAACAACCGAAAAAAGTAAAAAAAAAAAAAATGAAAAAATGATCATTTATACATAATCGCATTATTTAAATTTATACACAAGCGGTATTTAACAAAATTGATAATGTTATTTTGATATAGGTAACTCAAAACAATACTAATTGTAGATATTTACAATTTTTAATTATTATTTATAGTAGTATATTTTTGTAGGTAGTCAGAAATATATAAACATTTACCTTTTTATTTATTTATTATAAAAATCTTCATTCGTTTTTTCATCTATGAAAAAAAGTTTACCACTAATCATATTATTTTTTTGAGTGTGTGAAGCTTACATTTTTACAACATTGATAGCATTTTCTGTACATAATAACATTTTCAAAATATTTTCATTTTTCGGTAGGTATGAATAGGTACCTATATTTTATTATTATAATTAAATATCAGTAAAAAAAAATTACTAAATATATAAAAAGTTTACAATCATGAATAGGGACGGGATTTATATGCAAATGTATCTATGTATTGGCAGTGGCATATTTAGGGTAGGGTAGGGGTGGTGTTGCGGATTTCCTTCTCACCAAAAAAAAGTGTGTATAATACAGGGACGATCTGTGAAAAAAGTCTTGGGGGGGGGGGGGGTATATTCTTCAAAATTGCTGACTAAAATTATTTTAACTTTTTTTTTTTGCTCTTCGGTTTTTCTATACCTACTTTTTTTATCTGATGAGAATTGTCCCCGTATTGGATCAATGATCAGTATTATTAAAATAACACTAATTATATTTTGCAATTTTGCATATTTCAACGATTTTACTTGTTAAATGCGTATTGTAGTTTTTTAGTGTATATTATTATGTACAGTACATAAATTTATTCTTCGTCATATATTCACGTTCACAGCCTCATAATATTGATAAAATTACGATCGGTCGTTATTAGTACTAATTACTAAAGCCGAGATGATATACACATATGCAATATACCTATAATATATTAATAAAGATCAATTTTTATTTTTTATTAATATGGGCTAACATTTTATAGATAACCTTTTTATACCTAATTTAATAATAAATTATTATAAATATTTATTTTTTTACATAATTTTAAATAAAATTCTTTTGATTCAATTTTTAGTGCAAATTTTGTAGCATATTAAAGCATTTCAAGAAGCTTTTGAGGATGTTTTGTGCATATAACTCCGGTCCCTAATCATGAAGTATGGTTAGTTAAACTTAAGGCAGACAAAAAGCTTCTGCTCAAAGTCATTTTTTGTCACTCGATATTTATATTACGTCAGCAAAGCGGTACCCTCTAATCAATTTTTTTTAAATTAATTTTTTGTTAATTGATTAAAATTTTCAAAAATTGTATAATTTTTGAAGTTGAATTGTATGTGTTATGAAACAAATTTTCGTTAATTTAGATTTTAAATTTATTATACAGTTTTCTAAGAATTTCCTTGATTAAGTCCTAAATAAACAATACAATATAGAAAACCACTGATAAAAGGTCGTTTTTTCCATGGTTTTTATATGAACCTCAAATACCAGTTTTCCGGTATAGTACGGTTGTGGTTTTTAGTATTTCCTGTCGTATGTTCTGTACTTATATTTCTAATTTCAATAACTTCATTAACATTTTGTTTTTGTATAACACAAACACTACGAACTCGTTTGCTATATATTGTGTTATTTGTTCTGTGTACATAGTGTTACGTTCTCGATAAACAGATTTTTTTAAATATTTTAGTTTGATAGTATATTGCGACTTAATAAATTTATTATCTCTGTGCATTTTTATGCAATCCGAAATGTGTTGTTTCCCGACTAGTTTTTAAACCATGTGTCTTTATCGGATTAGAAGAAAATGTAGTCAATGTAGGTACTTACTCTTGTAGTCCATCATCTCATCATAAGTTGAAAACTACCAAAAAAAAAAAAAAAACGGCGAAGAATTCAATATTTCGATATTCAATGTCTTCCAAAAGGACTTGTGTACTGTTGGCTGTGGGCTTTCTGTTTATATTTGGTCCCTGTGTAAATGGTATAATCATTTTTTTTAATCGTCATCGATCTTGCCACTTAATAGATGATATAAATAGTAATTAATTTATTAATTATGATTATTTGTTGTTATAGGGTTATCATGTTATTGTGACATATGCTCTGATTCAAACTATACTTGTGTTACCGATGGATATTGTTTCACAAGTATATCTAAAGATACAAGTGTTATTCGCCATTCATCTCGGTAAAGTTGATTTTTAATTATCTTTTCTTAGTTAATATTATATGTTTGTTATAAAATATTTATTATTATTCTATATGAGAATTAGTACATTTAATTATTAATTAGTACAATAGATAAAGATAATATAATCATTAAAAATGTTATTATTCTTCAGTATCAATTTTTCTTATATTAGCTTTTCAAATCATTTATAACATGTATATTTACTATAACTACTCATATTTTATAATAAATAAGTGCAAAAATTAAATATAATTTTTAGTAGGTATATTATTAATAATATATTATTGGTCAAACCTTAAAAATATTGTTCATGATTTTAAGCAAAACTTAATCCTTAGCCCAATTGTAATAGTACATTAAGTCATGAAGTTAAGGATATTAAATTTCTTATATTCTATTATATTAGTAAATACTAATTAGTTTTGATTAAAATAGTTAATTCTTCCACTGACAGTATAATTTATTAATTTTATTGTAATGATGATACATTTTCAAGAATTTTAAGAGGTTTTGTGGTAGGGTGTATAGGGTGTATGTGGAAAAAATAGAAGGCATGTATGAAAGAGCAATAACATGAGTTTTTATAAGGAAATGGAAGAATTTACTCTAAGAAAAGATGTTCAGTGTGTACCAGAATCTAGTGATAAGTCCTTATCTATCGTCCTTAGTATTGGAAAAAATTATGGAAGATATTTATTATTAATTGTCATGGTGCTTATTGTCTACAGATGATTTTGTGTTAATGGGAAATAACCCAGAAAAAGTAAGCAAAAAATTAAAAAAATCATTGAAAGGATAGAAAGAAAGATACTAATTATAAATAAGAATAAAGCAGACAAGTATGTATGATTTTAGAGAAATTAACTAAGAAATCGACGAAATAAAACATACGATGAAGATGAGGATTGATATAGCTTGTAAGATGATTAGTACATAATTCATCTCAATATAATTAGGACTAGTAGATATAATAAAATATTGATTAAGAGGAAAGTGTTAAAGAAAGGATTATCTATAGATGGATAAAATTAAGAAAAATATGAGATAATTAGTATGGCAAAGGGATGCTGTTGTGATTAAAATGTAGATTGTATACAACAGTAGAAGGCTAGTCATTTTGTATGGATCAAAATGTTGGGTAGAGGTGGTCAATAATGTAGAATAGAATTGGAAGTAAGAAATTAATTAATTTGGGGTAGGTACCAATCGTTGAAAAAATAAGAGAAAATAGGTTGAGATGGTTCAATTATATTATGAGGATAGGCAACTTGGAGACAAAGAGAGTAAATGTGACAATGAATGTAGAAGAAAAGAAAGCTAAAGGAAGTCTAAAGAAGAGATAGGTAAAAATAGAGCCCTATAGAGATGTAGGGAAAAGGTGGACAACCTCGTATAATTGTATGTGAAAGATGAAAAAAGAAGATTATAATAATATGTGAATAAAATTTATCCTGATTTGTAATTTTACATTTTATTTCTACCAATGTATTTTAGGCTAATATATTTATTTTTTTGGTCATTTTATCTATTATCTATATTTTTCATATAGAATAAATTATGTTAATATCTATTGTTCAATTTGTTGCTATTGTTACCTTTATTGTTGTTTACTACATTGAATTAAGTTGATTATTTTGTTAATTTTATATCATGTTTCTATCATGTTTTATTTATCACACATTATTAGAAGATATATCTTTTAAAGAAAGTACTGAAATCCAATGATGTTGAAAAGATTTTAGCATAATATTTAATCATAACAGTTCATTTTTAAAATGCAATAATTTATCATTGCTTTAGAAATTTATAAAAATAATACTCCAAACCTTGGGCCATCATGAGCTTGATGAGACAATAGTCCAATAAACGGTCACTTTATCTTGTGCTGCATTTTTTATCTGCATGCTTTTCTATTTCATTAAAAATAATTATTATGTATAAATATTCCATTGTATTATTTAATAAATAAGCATTTCCTTAACTGTGATCTGCATATATACCAGATGGGGTCTGTGAAGGTAAAGTGAAAATATTATATTCAAAAATAAATATGTATACCAATGTAATATTTGTGTCATACTAGAAAATATTCTGTTAAATATAAGTACACCATAGAGTTGAAGACAAAGAATATCCAAAAATATTAGAAGTAGCAATAAGACCATTAATGTAATTTTTAAACAATGTATTTTAGTGAAAAAATGTTTTCTATTCATGTGTATACTAATAATAAATATAAAATCAATTACAAGTAGAATTAGATTTATGAATCCAACTATCTAATATATATATATCCTAATATACCCAATTTAATATCAAAGAAATAACTCCAATCATCAGCCATCACATCAAATATTTTTTTTTACTCATTATCAGGGCTCATGAGTTCATGCATTTGCATATAAATATTGCTAATTCTTATTTCGAGGTACTCTGGTTAAGTATGTGAAGTTTTATTTTGCATTTTTAGAGATTTTTTCCTATTCAGCATATTTATAAGTTTTTGTGCTGTATAAAATTTATGGGAATTATTGCAACTGTAAAATTAGGAAAAATAAAACCCAATAGACATTATTTTATTTGGTTAATCAGTGTTAAACAACTAGTGAAAAACATATGTTTTATGAAATAGTTTTATCTTAAACTTTAAAAATGGTTTATTTTAAACTATTTCAGCCTTTCTCTTTTTAATTTGCTTAGTTTTAGAGTTTTAGCTTATATCAATATATATTTCGAAATCTTTCAATGCTTATTGTGCCAGTTTTTAGTGCATAAGTACATGTTTATTTATGCATCTTTAGGGCATGACTTACAAGCCTTGCTAATTATATAAATTATTTGTTAATCCATTAATTTTAAATCATACAAATACATAAATTTAGTTAAGAAAATTAAGCAATAAAATTATTAATATCATTATTTAATAATGTTTTTATTTTTATCAAGAGGTTTTTAACATTTTTACAATTCTTAAGGTCCTGCAAAAGATAAGTTTGGAAAACGCTGTAATAAATAATAATGAAATAAATAAAAATCACTAACTTGTAACTGAATTATATTTTAAATATTTTTGAACATGAAGTTTGTTTATATAACTTAGATTAATTTTATCAATCATTTTTTATTATAAATTAGTGTAAGTATTGATTTCATAGTAAAAATGCCATAAGTTATCAAACAACATTTTTGAAAAAAAAACATGTTTTTATTTAACCTTTTTTTTAAAAAAAAAATCATTATATCATGTTTATTTTAATTATGATACATTTGTCCTTTATAAATTTTCCTGAAAAATCCGATGAAATGATAATAATTATAGTTAAATCGATTAAAAATATCTCACATTTTATTATGTTGATCATAAGCAAGAATGCTATCAATAAAAATTTTTGATAAAATATTATATTTAAAAGCATTTTATTATTCTTATTATTGATAGTTATTTGGAAGTCAGTTTAAAAAACAAATTTATAAATTCTTTCAAAAAATATTGATCATATTGGAGGCAAAGCCAATCCAGACTATTGAAATAAAAATGCCATAAATTATGTTTTGTACTAAACGAAATGTCATGTCTTCAAGAATACTTAGATTGTTTTTGCTTAGCCTATTGATTTTACTGCATTTTAGCTGTTTAAATTTTATCTATGTTTTTTTTTGCCATATTTTAGATTGACAGTGTATGTGCTTACACAAATTAAATTTTATTATTATTATTAATTTTTGTATTTTGAATTTTAAATCCAAGAGACTATTATATTAAAGTTTAATTCCCTAGATAAGATTTTGATACCATTCCTATATCGATATCAAAAACAAAAAAATAGCCATCACTAAATATATTATAGTATTATTATTTGTGTCAATTATACTGAAATTTTAGATTCTGACCTCTATTAACTGTTTAAAAGTTTGCCTAGTATCAATAATAATAGATAGAAAATTAAAAACACTTTTTTTATGACGGGTAATTTTTCAAATAGCTCATTCATTTTTTCCTTATGATTTAACACTATTGTTACATTTAAAAACATTCTAATGAGCGAATTTAATTTGAATAACTGATAGCGTTTATTTTAACTTTAAAGAAAACCTAAAACCTTATTTATATGTTTTAAATCTATCCGTCTAATAAATTTATTTCTATATTATTCTGTATATATATATAAATTTTTACATTCAATTTAAATAGTTCTTAAAGCATTATTTGATTTTTATGTATATACAACTCAAGTATATATAAAAAACATGAGAGTATAATAAATAAATAATCTCTTTATTTATTAGTTATTATAATAACCTGTACGCTTTGATCACAATTTTAAGTTCCATTAAATATCTCTCGTGGATAATCTTGTATTGATTCGGGATTTTTGAGGATTGAAAGGAGGGAGTAATCAAATACATATTTTTAGACAAATTTTAAATTTAATACTATTCAGATATATCATACAAGTAATAATATACTAATGGATTTAGTTAAAAAATAAAAATAAAATTATCTTTTTTATCAAATTAAATACCTTAATAACTACATTATTTGATTAACTTATTGTTACAAAAATTATTGAAGAATACAATAAAATTTCACTATAGAAATAGTTCTAAACATAATAATATATTACTTAAGTCAATTAAACACAAATTATTGCCTACTCAAAATATTTGTCGGGTTGACCTACAATATTATTATATTATTATAACACTTATTTTCTTATATATTGTAGTTATTAACTAAAATTTTAACTTATTCTAATTTGGTCAATTTTGCAATCAATAAAAAACTGATAAAAAATTGTTTTAAAAAAATACTCTACCTGAATCTGAATCTATTGAAAAAAATGACGTAATTTAAAATAAAGTATGTTGTATTACATATTTACCAAAAGGGTTAAAAATTTGAAATTTGTTTGAAAATGTGTATTTTGGTACTTTCTTTCAATCCCTACAAACCTCATTTCAATATAAGATAATTTAGATAAAATATTTAGAAAGACCTGAAATCATGATCACACCGTACATGATATATTTAAAATTAGGTATATTTTAAATAATTTGTATTGGGAATTGGCTTTAAGTTGTTTGCACAAGTACCAGTTTTTCCCACCAGAAAAGCCAAATATTTGTTTTCGAAGAAGGTTTCTGGATGAAATTTCAGTGTCATGTTGCCAAGATCGAGATTATTGCAATCGTTGGCTATACCCAAAACTTGTTGAAGTTAAACCTACAGGTCTATATATAATTTATGTGTGCCCTTTGTAACTGTTGTTGAGCTTATTTGGTTTTCTCGACTAATATTAATAATATTTAAGGGTAGAAATTTATTTTTAAATCAAATTTAACATTATGTTTTTTTTATGTTTGTTTGATCAGTTTTATTATTGTTATTCTAAAATAATTTTTGTCAATTAAACAGTAAACTAATAATAACTATGGGCTAACATTTAGGCATTGTGTGTTAATTAACGTGTTTGAACTTTGATAACTGTGCTCGTTTTAGGTGTTTGGAGAATAACATAGTGATCCCACGAGAAAAACCTTTGATATGTCATTACCCTAAAAAACATAATGATTCATTTGTAACCGAATGTTGTAAAGACTATGACTTTTGTAACAGAGATCTTAAGCCGACACTACATATTAAGCTTCCAGGTAGAATTTGTTATTTTATTCTCTAAAATAATATATTTTTCTAATTGTTGCATGAATTTTAATTAATATATTTATATAGTGTATTTTTCAAAATTAATTTTATGCTTAAAAAACCCAACTGGTAAGAATAAGTTTGTCGATTGTTTTTTTTTTATTTATATATTTTAAAGAAAATAAATTATTAATATTATATATACAATACACTTAACTATATAATGCTTATTTACAATTAATATTCCTTGGCTTAAGATTTTATCTGTTGTACATTATTTTATTGTATTATATTCGTATTATTCATACATTAATGTGGTGTAAATACAGATGATTCGTTGAATGACCCTAAGAAGGAGAGATTGGGTACATGGGAACTAGCAATTATAATAGCTGGTCCAATAGGTGTCGTATGCCTTGTAGTCATGCTCATTATGAATTTTTGGGCTGGATCGACAAAACGTCACAATATTAGATATCTACGAACTCCTCGAATTATTGCTGCTGATCAACAGCCTATTTTAACTGCAGCTGTTTCTTTAAGAGACATGATAGAAATGACTACTAGTGGATCAGGATCAGGTATATTCTCAAAATAATAATTTCATGTATTTTAAATTGCTTAATTTATATCCAATTTTATAGGATTACCACTTTTGGTTCAAAGAAGTATTGCTCGCCAAATCCAACTTGGTGTACCTATTGGTAAAGGTCGTTTTGGTGAAGTATGGCAAGGAAAATGGCGAGGAGAACAAGTAGCTGTAAAAATATTTTCATCTAGAGAGGAACGATCATGGTTTAGGGAAGCTGAGATTTACCAAACAGTTATGCTGAGACATGATAATATTTTAGGATTTATTGCTGCTGATAATAAAGGTAAACATTGATCATCTTAATCATACAATTTGTTTGTATTGTAACCAATAACAATTTTAGATAATGGCACTTGGACTCAATTATGGTTAATAACTGATTATCATGAAAATGGATCATTATTTGATTTTTTGAATCGAAGTACTGTGGATACAAATGGAATGATTCGTATAGCTCTATCTATAGCAACTGGTCTTGCTCATTTACATATGGAAATTGTTGGAACTCAAGGTAATAATACATTAATAATTAAATGTTTACATTTCACATTTTGGTTATGAATTTTAGGTAAGCCAGCTATTGCACATCGAGATCTCAAATCGAAAAACATTTTAGTCAAATCCAATGGAACTTGTGCTATTGGTGATTTAGGACTTGCTGTACGTTATGATACTTCTATGGATACAGTTGATATACCATTAAACCACAGAGTAGGCACTAAACGATACATGGCCCCAGAGGTAATATTTAAAATAATTGACTTGCATAATTTATAATTGAATATTATAATGCAATATTATATTTTAAAAAGGTTTTGGAAGAAACAATCAATATGAATCATTTTGATTCATTTAAAAGGGGTGATATTTATGCTTTGGGTTTAATTCTATGGGAAGTAACACGGAGATGTTATGTTGATAATATACATGAAGAATATCAATTACCATATTATGATAGTGTACCGTCTGATCCCACTATTGATGAAATGCGTAAAGTTGTTTGTTTAGAAATGAAACGACCACCTATTCCACAGAGATGGAATGCATACCCGGTAATACAAACAAGTTATTATAAAATTTTCTTTGTTAAAATGTGATGTCTGATGTTTTATTATTATTTTTTTAGTGTTTACAAACAATGAGTAAATTAATGCAAGAATGTTGGTACCATACTGCGTCCGCTCGTCTTACAGCATTACGTATTAAAAAAACTCTAGCCACTTTGGGTGCCATGCAAAGTCATAATATTAATATTAATATTTAAGGACTTAATGACCTCATAAAAAGTAAACTTCTAGCTGCCAATAGATTATCTACAAGCATAATGTTTATAATTTCTGGATATGTAATTTAAGTTTCATAGTTTTTGAAGTCTCCTAAAACACTGTATGTGCCATTTTATTCTTCGAAAATGTCATGGTAAAGGAACTATTTTATATTTATTAACTAATACGTACTTATTAACCGTGTGTTTTTGTAATCATCATACTTGGTTACCATAACAAAACTTTTGAGTGTTGAAAATTGTTTTATTTTATTAATAATTTATTTAAACTCAAAATAATTTTAAATAACTAAAAAAAATTTATTGGAATTGTTGCGAATTTGAAATTTCTATAAAAAAAAATAAAATATATTCTGGACAATAGATATTTTATATTTGCACGTAAACAACTATATAAAATTAATATTTTTTGCATGGTTGTTAACCATATTTTTATATTATTCCCATATTTCTTTTTTTAAATAAAAATTTTCAAGAATTTTTGGAAAAAAAACCTATGTTCACCATTAGGATCTCATTAATGTAGCTTTCCATAATACATAACTATTAATTAACACTTTGATTCCCTCCTTTTTTAGTCTAAGAATCTTGTTTCTTTGTGTAAAACACTAAAATATTATATGTATAAATAAAAAATGGTTTATTGTCATACATTTACTTCCAATTTAATCTTATTTAAAAATAATTTTATAAATTATAACTATTTTATACATTGAAAATCAGTTTGAATAAACAAACAAAATAATTTTGTATTGATTGTGAAGTATAATATGCACTAAATTTATTTTTAATTATAACCTTGTAATACGACTGTAAACTAAATATTTATTTGTGCTCCAGTTTTAATTAATTAAATTCAACTCGAGTCTGAACACAACTCTAGTTTATATAATTATATAATATGTCATAATTATTTGCTCATAATTAGAGTTTATGTTAAATGTTGAAATGTTTTATATTTTCATTTTTTGTGTTTACCTACATACAGTTTATAATAACATTCAAGATAATTTTATATATATTATTAAGTTAAATTTACATATAAATTGTGTACATAAGTATACCGAGTGTCTCAATTTCTTACAATTAAAGATTTTAATTATTTTTAAAATTTTGTCAGTAAAATATTGAATTAAATTTCCATGTGACAACTGATTTTATACATTTTTGTAACAACACAATAATATAATATCTGAATATTTTTGAGACGCGATGTATATAGTATGTATATTTACCTATTTAATGTTAAGTTGGGCTTAATGTTGTTAGATATGAGATCATGTGTACAATACTTACATACTTAAGGGCAGAAATAATATTATTAGTGCTCAAATTAAAAAGAAAAAACAGAGTAGCCTAGATGATAAATAACAGTACAATTTACTATTAAATATTTTATACTACTTATTGTACATAGTTTATATGTTATGTATATAATGATACTTTTAAAAAGGCTATTCTTGGAGGCATTATATTTGAAATGAATTTTAACTGTTTTATTTATAAACTCAAAAGAAGCTTTTTTTTTTTTTACAGAGTATTTTTCAATTAATAATATGAAATTATTTATTATTTTGTATTAAGTAGTTTTTTTTTCACAATAATAATTTTTATTCAATCAACTTATTTCTTTGTGTCTGTCATATTCAAGATTTTATAATCCTTATAATTTGTAAATTTAAATTTGTTGTATACTTTTTAAAGTCAAGTCAGCATTACAATACTGTATATTTGAAATATTTTTTAATTATTTTAAATTGTATAATTATAGAAACCAATAAACAATATGTTATTATGTACAGATGCATGATGATAGTTTACAAAACGGAATTTATTTATTATTACGTTTTTATTTTCTTTGATGTGTGTAAATATGATATTGCTTAATTTTTTTCTCACTAAGCTATTTTATTTTATTTTTAGTTTTTGTAAATTAATATATCTATTATAATAAGTATTTGTTATAACTGTACTCCCACTATAATAACCATACTGCTCTCTACCAATCCATATATATATTTTTTATTTTTTTTTAGCCTGAAAGCTTATAAAAGTTAAAATGTTTTGTTTTAATTTATACATTTTTTCATTAAATGATATATATGTATACTATGATTTAAATATATTTATATAATGTATTATAAGTTTTAAAAGAAATCATTTTCATCTATACTTTATTTTATGAATTCTGATATATTGGAATATACTATATTTAATATGTTCTAAATTCTTTTTTTAAGAATAAGAGTGGAAATTTTTGGTGTCTTTAGAAACCTAACTTTCATTTAAGGTTTTCAGAAAAAATGAAGTACCTACAGGCTATAATTTAATATTAAATAGACATATAATAGGTCTACTTTTTAGTACCATAACTATTACAACCATCTTAAAACAAAACAAAAAAAAAACATCTATTAGATATGAGACCTGAAGAACATTGATTTAAGTTAAAAAATATCACAGAAACAGAAAGTAGAAAATTTAAAAAAGACCATATTTCAAAAACATGTTATAATATTATAGCTATGTTTGATACAACTGGTCAAAAACCAATCAACTAAATCAAGACTTTTAATATTAAGACAATTTTTTGCATGTTTATATGCTTAATTATTCACATTTTTAATGACAAAATAGTTTGATAGTATTCTGTCAGCTTATATTTTATGTGTACAATACTAAAATACTATTAAACCAATTACTAATACTAATAGGTATTGGTACCTAGGTTAAAATAATTTTTTCCAAAAACATTTCATACAATGTCATGTATATAAAGTAAAGTAAGATAAGTGAAAAGTTAGTTGAAATTTATAACTTAACTTTATGTAATAAAACTGCTTATATATTTTTTTCTTATAATATAAATTACTAATAAGCAAACTCGTATTTAATGTTTAAGTCTTTCCTATAAAAGTTCAAGATAATATAATAATTAATTATAAAATAATTTACAAATCCTTACAAAAGAAAAATTGAGGCCATTTATCTCAATTATACTAAAATTTAAAATATTTATGAAAACAATTTATGACGAAGAAAAATATGTGGTAATAGCTCAGTCAAAATATTTTGAAAACATTATGTATGTTTTCTTTTTGAGTTATAACAAAATCAGAAAATAATTAATTTTCATGTTAAAAGTATTTTGTCAAAGTTTTCAATTTTAAATGTGCATAATATTTATAGAATTATACTAAATTATTTAGTAACAACTGATGTAACTAATAACAACCTCATTACATTTTCAAATCTTTTGTAAGTTAGGTGATAGCATAGCAATCTGAAACACCTATACAAGTTGATAAATAAAGCATTTTTTATTATTTATTGTTAAATCAATCGATTCATGTTCAACTTTGAATTTAAAATAGATTTAAGCACATTTATTTTTAACAAAAATGTTAGGATTTCAAATAAATAAAAAATTTAATAACATTAAGGAGTAAGATGTCTTATTTAGGAATTATCAAATATCTTAAGTTTTCACTTGATACATTAGTCAACAATTTAATTTAGTAAAAATTAAGAATTTTATTAAACATAATTGTGTATAAAAAAAAAGATAATACTTTTTTATTTATAAATGTATCTGAAAGTGAATGTTATTATTATTATTATTATGTAAGCTTACAAGGCATGAAAATAGTTTAAATAATAACAAAATAAAATATTTTTTTGTTTTTCACATAGCATACAAAATGTATTAAAAATATTAGTAACCTAGTGTTAATTTTTTCACAAATAATGTTAATTAGTTAAAGTTCTCCAGCATCATAAGCTTGTTGATATCCTCGGCCAGCTTTTTGTTCGGGATCTAATTTAATCATATCATCTATTCTGAGAATAGTTATTGCAGCCTCTGTTGCAAATTTCAATGACTTAATTTTAGATATAGCCGGTTCTAATACACCAGCTTTTAAATTGTCACGTATTTCGCCTTCTTCTAAATCTAATCCGTACCATTTATAAACATCGTTTTCACTACTTGTTTGACTTTCATTATGGTAAGATCTGAGTTTAGCCACTAACTCTGTAGCATCCTGGGCAGCATTAATTGCTAAGGTTTTAGGGATAACTAATAAAGAGCGTGCAAATTCTGCAATAGCCAGTTGTTCCCTGGAACTCAAAGATGTAGCAAAATTTTCTAAGTAAATAGATAAAGCTGCTTCAACTGCTCCACCACCAGCTACAGCAGATTTGGATTCAAGTACACGCTGAACAGCACACAGGGCATCATGAATAGAACGCTCCATCTCATCACAATAGAAATCATTTGGTCCACGTAGTATAATTGATGCAGCACTTTGAGCTTTCGGTCCTTTAACAATTATTAATTCATCGTCAGATATTTGGTCTTGTACAACTTCAGCAGCTTCACCAAGACTAGAACTTTCAAAAGTCTCTTCTCCTTCCATATTTGTTAAAGAAGTCAAAAAAACTGCACCTGTAGCCTTTGCAATTCTTTTCAAATCAACCTTCTTAACACGACGTACAGCTAAAGCTTTGGCTTCAATGAAATATTTCAAGCAAATGTCATCAATACCACCCGTACATAATATAACATTAGCTCCAGTTGCTAAAATTTTTTGAACTCGCTCTTTAGTTATATCAGATTCACGTTGACGTATTGCTTCAAGCTGATCAACATCATTAACCAAAACCTGTACACCTAATTTCATTTTAGTTTTTTGTAGAGAAAAATCTAAACATGCAATTTTGGCATTTAAGATTTTTTTTGGCATTGCTTCAGAAGCAACAGTACAATTCAAAGCATATCCTTGAATGAGTAAACTTTCTCGTGCACTTTTACCATGTGCTTTAAGTACATTAATGGTCTTAATAGGTACAGACACTCCACCACGTTTATCAGATGGTCGTTTTACAAGCATGCATGCATCTACTACCATTTTTGAAAAGAATTCTGAATCAGCCATGATTAATTTGCTAGACATAGATGTAGTAGCAGCATTTTCCAACCAATCACGGCGTAAATCATCAACATTGACAGTTAAATTGTTCTGTATATATTTACAAGACTCTTTGCATGCCAATCGATATCCGCTTATGATAGATGTTGGATGTATTTTCTGTTTAACCAACTCATCTGCATTTTTCAGTAATTCCGCAGCTATTATAACCTGAAAAATAAATTAAACATATGACACATGTATGTATATTAGAAAAATCAGAAAATTCAAGAGCACTGAGATAGCAGATTTTTATTAGTTTATAAGAAATTACAGGTATAGACCAATAAGAATAATGTAATTTACGAGAGCCTTTTGAATCTTTATTACTAAGTACTATTACCATACTTAATTTTAAAAGCTTTGGTAACCATTATATTTTCCCTTCCAGTAAGGTTTAAAGCTTTTAAATCAAAGCCTTTAACTAGCTGTTTTAAGAAACTGATTGTTTAGCAAATGGAATTGTCAGTTGGTGAAAATAATTAAATAATAACATTAGTTTTTATTAAAATTAGGAAAATTAATACTCGTATACTTAAAATTGTTATAAGTATTAAGCACATTATTTAAATAAAATAAAAAATAAAAAAAATAAAATTCCAGAAAAATGATTTTTTTGGTTGTGTAAGTTGTGTTAAATCGTATAATATTCAAATAACTATAAAAAATTTAAAAAAAATGAATTAACAAAAATAAGTATTTAAGTTGCTATTATCAGTACTTAGACTAGAATTAAGTTATAAAATAAAAACTTCAACGTGTAAGATAGTATACTTACAACTGATGTAGTACCATCACCAACTTCTTCATCTTGTAACTGAGCCAATTCAACAAGAACTCGAGCAGCTGGATGTTCGACATCCAACAATTTCAAAATAGTAGCACCGTCATTGGTTACAGTGACATCCTAAAACCATAAACTTAAGTTTTTCACACAATATTTCTTAATAGTTAAACAATTATTTTAACTTACTCCTATGTCATCGACCAACATTTTATCCAGACCAACTGGTCCTAATGAGCTTTTAACAATATTTGCAATAGCATTTGCTGCCATCACATTTTGTGTACGGATGGGTGTTCCAGAAGTCCTAGAACCGGCCACCGTCAACGCACTCACAGACATGACTTGTTTTTAATTTTCACACGATAAATTTAAATAATTAGCAAAAATACTTGCTAACGTTTATGCCTGTTTCTGATTATTCTCGATTACACCTCTTCAGAATGCAATTACAATTGAAATGTATACTGACTATACTGTATAGTCTATAGACATTCTGTGCATCGGTGCACCGTATTAGGATTTGAGGTTATGTTTTTAAAGTATATATTATTACTATTATTCATTATGCTTATCTTTTTTTTTTCTTCTAAGACCTTAACCATATAACCAAGAGTTTGGAAACGGATTTTGAGGATAAGGTCCAAACACTCCAAACATATATAAACATTATGTATTATGTAGTATGTACGAACTGTTCTATTTACTGCCCTAATTATTGTCCTATATGACATGGAATTATAAAAAAAAAACAAGTAAAACATCAGCTGAATCCCCACATAATATATTATGTAGGAATTGCCAATCCCAAACTCGGTAAAAAGTGCTAAAGCACTGACATTATAGTAATTGTTTTTTATTTAAACAGAAATCTATATTTTATTGTTATTTATTGAAAACTATTATTTGTATTAATTTTTTTTCAATTCTTTAAATATTTTAATACAGTCAATTTTTGTATAATCAATATTTAATTTATGTAACATATTTAAATATTTTATGATATTTAAATACAATTAACAATTTTTAATACTTGATAGTTGATATTATAACACACATAAATACACATGTATAATTTTGCTGTTTGTAATAATTTAAAACATGTAAGTACAGTAGTATACAGATTTATTTATTTTTTTAATATTTATTGTGCTCAAAATCTAGTACAACTATTTTCAACAAAATTAACAAGTGTCAAGTGGTTTCCAATAAAATAATATTTTTTCCAGTTATAACTTGACTTCCAGAAACAATATCAATAAGATCTGATGATTCTGATGTAATTTTAAATTCTTTTTTGCGGTTATACTCCAAGGATAATTTTTCATTCAGCGATTTAACATTTTTAGATGCAGAATCCGTAGCCATCATACGAGCAGATTGATCCACAAGGTATTTTCTACCATGGCAAAGAACAAAAGTGAAACAGTAGAAAATTCAATGTAACTTCTCATATTTTCTTCTACTTCTTCTAAACTAGTAATATGAACCACCTTGAGAAAGAAATCTGGGTTATAAATGGAAATTCAATCAACTTGTGATGTACCTTTAGTAACAATCCGGTTGTAAAATATTTGACAAGCAATAAATTTGGCGTAATTACATTCATTGAATATTTTTGAAGCTTCTAGAAACGTGGGATAATCTTTTCCTATCTTGAAAACTGTATATAAAATGTTAGATTTATACGATTTATCTAAAACTTCTTCTGATTTTTGGCCTACACACAAGACTTTTGTCAATTTCTGATCAGGCCTGTCTAGTTCTTGTTTAACTTTTTTCACAGTAGCCACCACACAGATCTCGATCTGACGTAATGGCAAACATAAAATAATTTTCAATATGATCGAGCATGTTAATATGTATATAATGTTTGTAAAATCATAGCGCACCACGATCGAATGGATCTACGTCTTTCAGCAAACGCTCGGTCTTTGCCAGTTGGCAGCTGACTCAAGTTTCATGGACAAGGTGATTTTATTAATGTTGCCATATGACTGTATGCTTTTATCTGAATGGCTCTCAGAGACATTTGACAAGAAGTTTTTATCGAACTGCAACAAATGACGTGAGTACGTAACACAAGACGATGAATGCGACGATCTAAGGTCTCAAGATTTAAAGGCACGAAAGATAAACTGAATATAGAAATCGTGGTTTTATCAGAAATAGAAAATTAGGCGTGACAACGAATAGATGCGTCGGAAACGGGAAAATAAACATACACGCTTCAGGGTGAGTGACTTCTACAGGGGATGGGTCGGAAGCACTTATTTATCGATAGAGTAGCGATGACTGAGTGTGTGACACGATGTCAGTGACAGCGCCAGGATATTTTTCTAAGTAGGGCCAATGTGAGACCAACAATTATAAAGTAGGGCCACAAAAATGAGATTTAAACAAAAAATTATAAAATATATATAAAAATTATGTAATTAGAAAAATAATATTATATAATTTTTAAAAATTATACAATATAATATAGAAGTATATTAATCTAAATTACATATAAACCGTACAGTGAAAATACAAATACCATTATTTTCTACTTATGAAAAGTGAGAATATTATTATGTCTATGGTTAAGCCAATGGTATGGCTATGGCTCTACCTGATACGTCCCCTGATGCGCCGCTACTGTATGATGTACAAGAATTGTTATCATTGATTTAAAATTATTCTTGTTTTTCAAAATAAAATAAAAAATGGTTTATGCTCACTTTTAAAGAGATAACGGCGAACACGAGACAATGGACTTTGCTGTTAATAAAACATATATATGTAACGTATGTATAATTGAAAACTACCATTGACGAAAATACAGAAAACGAATTATGAATAACTATGATTGAAAATTGAAATCGGAATTAAAAACAGAAAAAACAATCACATGCATTTTGATGATTATTTCTATAACGAAGTGCAGGACGACGGAATAGAATGTAAACAAACATAAAAAAAATAAATAATATATGTATAATTTTAACTATTGTAATTAGTTATTGTCAGGGCTATGTATTATGTATTTATTGCACTAAAAAAGTGTTAAATATGCTTGCATTTATATACCTACTAAAAATAGACAAAATATGCTCTGAAAAATTTAAAAATATACACTACAAAATTTGAAAAATGTAAAAGTATGCTGTTAAAATTCAAAAAAAAAAAAAAATGCTCAATAAAAATAATGAATAAATAATAAATAAATATAGTTAATAAAAAAGTACATATTTATTTATATACCTAATCTTAAAATTGTTCTTAACAGTTTGAAAAAAAAATACATATTTGATATATTATAGTATAGATTTTTTGGGTTATAACACTTATAACCGGTGAGTAAAATTCTGATTACGGATGACTCAGTTTATTAAAATGTACATTGGCATTCTACTTTGCCTTTTTCTTATGTTTTGACATTTTAAAATTATTTTAATTGACAACGTAATAGAAAACTAAAACAGACAAAAACAAATACCTACACAATACACTACAATGAACATACGTGTCACATTAGCAATAAAAATAACGTGACAAAATTGTTATACTATAGTAGGTACTTATTTATTTTTTAATTTATAAAATATTGAGGATATATAATATGTAGGGACCGGATTTATATGCAAATGCATATTTGTATTGGGATAAGCTTTTTGAAATCTGATGAAAATTGTGCCCCATTTAGATCACTCTTATTAAAATAACACTAATTTTATTTTGCATATTTTGCATATTTCAACGTTTTTACCTATTAAATGCATATTGAATGCATATTTGTAGTTTTAAAGTGTATATTATTATTTATAACACATATATTCGTTTTTCGTCGTATTTTCACGTTCACAGCCACATAATATCAATAAAATTGACACCGGTCGTTATTTCCAAAGAGTCTATGTGAAAACCGCGAAAATAAAACAGTGAAAACACTAATAGCGAAAAGTAAGAAAACCTATACGTATATACTTACAGATAATCGGAGGAATTTAACGTTTGAACACATTAAGGAACTTCTGATCATCCAATGCAATAAGGTAAAATATGACGACAAAATACTTTATAAGCTTTTTTTATACTTTTTTAATACCATATTAATTAATAAATATTGTTACATAATTTTACATAATACATATCTTTACATAGGTTTAAACAAAACTTTAAATGCATATTTAAGTACATATTTAAAAATAAATACATATTTCATAACATATTACAGCATTATTAGAAGCATATTTTGAGGATTTTTTTGTGCATATAAATCCGGTCCCTAATAATATGTATGAAAAACGGATTTGTAGATATCAGAACAAACATTATTTTACCATCGGTTTTATGAGATTTTAATATTAGACCTTATAGACTGAAAAAATAAAATATATTTTAAGAAAAAAAACATTAATACGAAGAAATTTTGAAAACATGTGGGCATGTAGCAATCAATATATTAATTTTATAGCCTTAATTATAACACTGTATATTAATATATATGAATATATATATTACATAAATACCATGTTAATTTAAAACAATTTTTTAAATATTTACTTATGTTTAATGGTTCAAATAAAAAATTAGATTTAAAATATTTTTATACTCGTAATGTAAATTTACAAATTTAAAATATCAAGGAATTTAAAGTAGGTAGGATTGTAAGAAAATATAATTTTACCATTAGATACCTACTAAGTATTTATTCTAGAGCATTAGACTCACTTGATAATCATTTTTTCTAGTTTGAAATGTTTTTCACACATCCTTGATTAAAGTTGTACGAGTATTCCCAACCTGTATATCATCTTAATCGTGATCATAGCAAAGTAAAAATCTAATATTATGATTGACACCTTGTTAGGTTTACAGCTTATTTTTTAAAGAATACTTATAACAGACGTGTGTGCGAATAACACGATTACAACTTATTGTATCTCCCTTAAAAAAATATGGTTTTTAATGTTTTTATAGATTTTTGGTGTTCATCATAAATTCATAATTGATAATAAATAACAATAAAATTGTGGTATGAACTATGAATATATGATTATAATTATAATTTTTAATTTACGTTTTTTTTTAATTATTTTGATTTATATTTCATGGAGTAAAAAGTATGAACATTAATTTATTCTGTGATATGAATTTCTTCGTGCATTATCTTTTATCAACAATTTGCGGCTCACGCACGTGATTTTCAAAATGTGTAAATGTGTAATGAACTTATGAATAGTCAGTGACCAGTGTATGATGTATAACTATTAATATTAACTGTTAACCGGCCAGTGGCCACTGACTTACCAATTGATCACATCGTGCAGTTTACTAGCGTACAGAATTATAGCTTTACAACACTAGTCAGTAGTCACTAAACCAAAAATCTTTGCCGTTTATTTATAGTTAATATTCAACAGTTGATTCGCGATTTTTACTTACTGGTCATATAGTTGTTCGAAATGTTTTACCATGATTTTTACAATGTGGATCCGTTCAAACCCATCAGTTTGGAATTTAACATGT